CTCTGCTTTGTTGCTGAAATTTAGTAAGAAAAATGCAAACAAATATATATATATATATATATATATTTTTTTTTTTATAATAAAAATGTATTCTAAATTAACTTAAATTGGAGTTGGTGGTGAAAAATATTAACTGAATCTCAAAAGAAAGGGGTCTACGCCACGTCTTCAGAGTCTAATAGGGTCTTCCCACACACCGTCAAAGCGCATCTGGCATCCGTTGAACAAACGGTCCATAAGGTTTTGCCGTTCCGAATTTTCTCAATTGGCCCTGCATCAAAGCGCATCTAAATGTAACGACCGTTTGTTTGGCGATAGTTCTTCGGTGCAACTCTGAAAATTTGACCATCACTACGAAAGTGTATACACACTTGGCGAGAAACAAATGAGATATGGAATTTAAAACGTGGCGCCAAAGCTACAAGCATGCCCAAAATAGATGTTGGCGTTTTTTCGGTATATTCTTGCCCCAATATGTCCCCAATTGTTACTATTTAATATAAACCGCCTACCTCTACCTTATTTTAAAGATTTTGGATGCCTATACCACCTATAGACACTTTTCGGTGAATTTGCTCTTTGTTAGAGAAAAATCATTAGAAAAACTAAAATTCCTTGTCATTTAAGTCATTTAAATTTATTGCGGATAAATTCTGACGCAATCTGTGCCTTTTGCTGTTGTACAACAGCCAAAATAGCTGGTAAATGCTCCATTTCAAATTTGCAACTGCCAATTCGACCGCCTTTGTTTACGTTTTCATGAGCCACAGCTGATCGATCAGCTGTTCGGATGCAGATGCACTTTGATGCAGCTCTGTGGGAACACGAGTTTCGCATCTGCGAAAAATCCCAAACGTTCCTCACAGATGCGCTGTGTGGGAAGACAGTATAAGCGTATGTTTAGCAATGGTAATACAATTTTATTTGTGCAAAGTTGCTTGGATAGAATATTTATGTTAATTACTTAGTCAAAACATATTGAATCTATATATATAAAAATGGAGACAAAAAATGTTAGGGATCAAATCACAAGAGAACGGCTGGGCCGATTTGGATCAAATTTTTTTTCAGTTTTTTGTAATTGCCAGAAGAAGGTTATAGCATAAGAAAATTTTGGAAAGTCCTTCCGGAAAGGTCGCTAGCGGCTCAACAGATGGACACACTGTTGTATGTAAAATTCTGAAACACCCTACAAAGATCATAGCTGCGTTGAAATTGTGTATCAATGAACTCGGTAAAAAAATATTTAAACAAAAAAATCGAGCTAACGAAGCATTACCAAAGTGAGCTTAAACAATTGGAAGTAATGCCTGCTGTTAGACGATCAAATCTTGGGCGGCGTTCACGCAGTGCAATAAATAATCAGAATTTCCGTAATAGTCGGACGCAAGAGGAACGTACAGAAATAAATGCATCGATACGTGCCCAAATGGCACAGCTTCGCGCTGCACAAAGACCACCTCAAGCCCGACAAAATAATAGAGGAAGACGAGCCGCAAATGAAAACTTGAATCGCGCTGCATTCCCATACAATCCTGAAACATCCTACAAGGATCTTACGTGCGTTGTTATTGGTTCATTATCTGTTGTATGTCAGCATTGTAATGCATTGAAGTTTCGGCTGGAAACCCCCGGCTTATGCTGTGCAGGTGGCAAAATGAAATTGCCCGTTTTGGCTCATCCACCAGAGCCATTGTACTCGCTACTATATGGAAACTCAGCCCAATCAAATAGTTTCCTGAAGCTTGCACAAAAATATAACGGATGCTTTCAAATGATGTCTTTTGGAGCCGAGGTTGTTCAACAATCAGGCTACAATCCAAGTTATAAGGTAATGGCGTCTCTTTATTATCACATTTTTTCAAAATTGCATCCCAACATTCAGATTCAAGGGCAAATTCACCACCGAGCGGGCGCTTTGTTACCACCACAAAACAAAGATCATAAATTCCTTCAGATCTATTTCATTGGTGATTCGGAAGTTGAACTAAATCACCGCTGTGCAATTTTTACTGCAACTAAACGTGAAATTATTCAACAATTGCAAACCTTCTCCATGAGCATAATGAATTGGTCAGATTGTTTAAAACCGCATTGGATATAATGCATTATGACGAACATAAAATCATTATCAGCGCTGACAAAAGACCCACTGGTAGCCATGCAAGACAATTTAATGCTCCCACTATCAATGAAGTCGCAGTGGTGATTGTTGGCGAGAATGTTGAATCACGCGATATTGTTCTTAAGCGTCGGGATAATGGCCAATTGCAGCGAGTTTATGAGACTCATCGGTCTTATGATGCTCTTCAATACCCGTTGATGTTCTGTCGTGGAGAAGATGGGTATCACTTCAACATAAAGATGGTCAATCCAACGACAGGTTTGTTTAAAAGTCATCACGAATTCCGATTATTCCAACAGATCTTCCATTCCAATTCAAGAGGAGTCAGTTCCCAGTTCGATTGGCATTTGCGATGACAATCAATAAATCGCAAGGCCAATCGTTGGAAGTCTGCGGGATACATCTGGAATATCCATGTCTTTCACATGGCCAGCTATACGTAGCCTGTTCGCGTGTGGGAAAGCCGTCATCATTATTTATTTTTGCACCGGATAACAAAACAAAAAACATTGTATATCAGATCGCTCTGCACTAATTTCAGGTCAAAAAAATTTGTCAATCCAACGAAAGGTTTGTTTAAAAGTCATCACTTTTTTTTGATTATCAACTAATTTTGAATTTAAATTTTAGGAGAAGATAGGAATAAGGTAAGGTAATAATGTACGTCAAAGTAGAAACGGAACGTCTCAATTTAATTTGTTTTAATCAGTCGAAGTTGGGGCGAGATAAAGTTCGCCGGGTCCGCTAGTAGTAATATAATTCTATTTTAAATTGCTATAACTTTAATTTGCAAAAAGAATGGTAAAAAAGCGATACTATCGATAGTATCGAATTTTCGTATTCAAAACATCGAAAATATCGAATGGTGCCACTATCGATAGTTTCCCAACTCTATATTGTCGGTGGAATGAAAAAGCCAGTTAATAATACGTATAACATATAAATGAATACATTAATAACTTTAAAGGAGAGCCAAAATTGTTGTTTATAAATAATGCAATTTAATTTGATTGCCTTAATGGTCAAAGTTGACCAAATAATTAATTGAGACCACCGAAATTAATACTGTGAAAAATGTAGCAGCATTTTAAATGTCTAAATTTGCTTAACTCCATAATTTTTTGCCTTTTCATGACTTCATAATAAGCAATCGTAAATATAAAAGGCAGTTCTTCACGTTGTTTGCTTTTTATGCCTAGTACTCTAACGACGAAAATCCGCAGTCTAAATTAAGACATCGTAATCGCTGTTTAATTGGTAACCGAACCAGTGTCACCAAAAAAATTAATGAAAAGCCATAAAACGCCATGAAAATGTACCTTTTTAAGGCGTTTAAGGATTTTCTTTGGTCACACTGACAGCTGTTTGTAAACAAATATTCAAATAAATTTTGAAAATATTAATAAATATGGCATTAAAGTGTCCTTTGTGGGTTAAATTTCATATTATGGGCTTCGCCTTGACATCGCCTATCAATGCCACTTTTTTCCTTCAACTTTCCCTCCATTAGGGGTGTCTAAATAAATCAAATGAATTATTTAGACAGCGCGATATCTGTTTACTCTCTTGATCTGGCAACGCCATTAAATTTTCGCAGGTATCATTTTCGTCGTCAGAGTACCGGCAAAATCGACGAGGCAAAAAGTTCTTCTTCTTCCTTTTTCGACACCGTTTTTTTATTATATGGAGTTTGGCCGCTGTCTTAATTTAGACAGCGGATTTTCGTCGTCAGAGAACTAGGCTTTACCGAAAAATCAAGTCAGCTTATTCAGAAATAAGAAACGATGAGAAAACGAAACATTCATTTCATTTTTCAAAAACCGGAGCAGGTAAACACGAAATCGTACGATGTCGCCCAAAACGAAAACGAAAAAACTTTACGATTACCGGAGCAGGACTAGTTTTCACCGGATGCGTCCAGACGAGTCTCTGACAAAGCAAAGAAAAACACCCGAAACAACTCTGGTACACAAACTGCAACTGCAACTGCAAATGAAAACCTACATATTCAACAAGTTGGCTGCATCATCTGACCCGTTTATTCCATATAAATAGAATTAATAGAATCAAATTATTATAGTTCAGAAATGCTTAGTTTATTATAAATTCCCCAAATATAAGCATATGTTTATTAAGTATTCAAAATTAACAAAAAAATATATATATAATATAAAATAAAAATAAATTCAGTGTTCAAAAGATTTTTATTTCATAAAATAAACAAAAATATAAACAAAATAAATAAAATAAAACAAATGATAACGGTTCGGTTCAAAAGTTATGATTTTTGCAACGTAAAATGAGAAAATGTGATATTGTGTGGGGGAGCACTTTCTTATATTTGCTCTGCTTTTTCGACGACTACTGCAAATGGCAGTCACCTTGCCCTATATATAGATTCGGTTCCCACCAATTCCTTTTCCCACTTTTTCGCCTCTCTCAACCGGGGTCGAGAACCGTATTCAAGGCCAGGGCTCTGTTCCCGCCTTGGTGTTGATGGATGCTCTGCTCTTGCGATCCGCACGTATCATCCACACTTTCCCTTCCTCTGCGGTGTGGTCGGTAGGGGGCGACCTACATATTTCTCCTTTTTCCCTCATCACGGACCTCCTTCGGCCCTGCCAACCTACTCTCGGTGCGCATTCCAGGCGATATTTGTTTCGCCTGCGGCTATCGATCACCGCCCTAATGCAACAAGAAACATGTTTATTGACATATGTACATATGTGAAACTGATATTCACTCAGAGCACATCTACCATCCACCATCCTTTGTGGCCCATCAATATATGGATTGGATTCGAACCTGTTGTACTAATGTATTTTTATAAAGTGTGAATCATTCATTTTAAATAATAAATCAAAGGTTCGGTGTTATCTTAACGTTTTAAGTGAACTATTCAATTGTGACGCGGTCATAATAAATCTCATTTGAAAGGACTATACTTAAATCGTGTTTGTTGCTAACATAGCAGATTGAATGATGCTACATTTTATATATCTACGAAAATTGTATGTAATGAAAAGTTCCATTGAACATTTACAAATGTTACATTATATCGATATGTTATGCTGATCGGCGGTGAATCCTTTTTAGTAAACAGGAATGTACAAAATAGAAGTGCTAAATAACGATATCCTCATGTTTAAATATTTTTTTAATCTTTTCTAAAAGATTTCTTAACACAAACATACTAACTACACACCCCCAATTATTGTCAACAAAATTATTAGGAATGATGTTTAAATCACTATTAACTGCACTTTGTGTACAGTTGAGTTTGGGATCATATTATATTCATGGTGAAGTAAAAAGCGATTTCAAAGGTGAAGGTAATGATTTAGTACATCATACAAATTGGATGCGTCATGAAATTATGGACAATAATGGATTATATTGGCTCCAATGGTGGGTAATAGCAAAAGATAATGATGTATATTTTGAAGTAACTGTTAATACCCGGGGGTATATCGGGCTCGGATTTTCTAAAGATGGTCGTATGCCTAATTCAGACATGGTCCTTGTATGGGTCGATGATAGCACGGGGCAACCCAACGCATTGGTAAGTTTAAATAATTTTAAATGATTTTGTTTAATGTGTATAGAATTATATTATTAAGAATATTATTATGTATGTACATTGGGTTGAACAAAATTAAAACAATTGCTAAATTCAAATTCGCTAAAAATGGTATTTTATTGTAGATAAGATCAGGAGAGAGGGAGATAAAAGCATATGGACACTTAAATATTTGGCTGGCGGATTCAGATTCAACCAGAAATTAATTATTTTAAAATACAATGCAATTATGTAAATTGCCAATATTAATTGTATATTATTATTTAAGGGCTTAGGAACATTATTGAATACTTGATTTTTAAAAATTTATTTTTTTGATTGCACCTTAAGGGTCCATTCTGGTTAGTTGGGCAAAAAAATAGGCCATTTTCAGAAATTTGTTGTGGTCAAAGGAAAAGAGATAGAAAGTTCAAACTTGTCACATATATTTATCATAGTTTAAATATTATATAGCAAAATTTTCAAAAATTTTTAGAGCATGTCCTGAAGTAGGACACAGGGCGACGTAAGCCCATGCCCAAAAAAGGCACCCCTCTGGCGACCATCCTGCAGGACGTAAAAATCGACTGAAACAAAAAATTCAAAAATGTTCTTGTTTAGTATGAATGTGGTTATGGAATAGGCTACTTTTTTTAAAATTGAATAAAAAATAAGAAAATGGCGGCACCTCAAAAATTTTTTTTTCGTTTTTTTGAAAATTTTCTTCACTATTTTGTTGATTAAAATTAAAATCATATCAGTACAAGCCCAAATCAAAGTGCCGCTTTTTACGGTCTTTAACAGTTTATGAATATATCTACATACGTATATATAAAGTAAAAACCTTGACCATTGGTTTTATGGTTTTTGTGTAATATTATCTTAAAGTCGACCCATTTACCCATTTTTTTGGATGATGCTAGAAACAAAATAAAGTTCAACTTTGAATGCTCATATCTTCTACAAAATAATCTTAAAATTGATTTTATTGCTGATTCTGAATCCATGGGAAATTTTCTTTCGAATAAGTATGGTTAAAATCTTTTTTGCGAACATGACAACTTTTGCAATTCTAATTGTTCGTGAGGCGCTACTGTGCGACGTAGGCTAATATACGAAAAAGGAACCCCTCTGGCGACTCTTCTACAGGTCGTAAAAATCGTCTGAAACTACTACTACTTTTATCGAAATTGAATAAAATAACAAGAAAGGAAGCTAACTTCGGCACGCCGAAGTTTGTATACCCTTGCAGATTGGTTTTGATATTTATATTATAAATTATAATGCCGAAAACAGACACTAAACAGAGTTTCATAACATTTTACCTATACTTATTATGTTTACAGTTTGACAGTTACAGTTATACATTCTTAGCTTAACATTTTCTCTACATCCACGGATCGCTTCTATGGCAGCTATATGATATACAGTCACGGACAAAAGTCTACGTACGACCCCTTTTTTTGGGTTTTAGCCACTCCTATAGATTTGACAAGAAAAGTAATGATGCAGTCTTGTTTTAAATGTTATTACTATACAAAAACTAAAATTTCATTTGAATTCAACATTAACTTCTAAAGTTATAAACAAAAAACGGAAAAACGACAGTGACAAAAGTGTACGTACGATTGCATACTATGCACTTTTATGATATAATAATGATATAAGGAACAAAAAATAATATATTTTTGGGTTACCATGGACATCAATAACTGCTTGTAAATGTCTGGGCATCAAAGCCACCCAATTATCCAGCTTCCTCTTCCTTATTTTAGTCCACTCCTCTTGTAGCCTCTATTTAAGGATAGGAGCACTACTTATTGCGTGTTTTCGACCTTTCTGCTCAAAATTTTTTCCAATATAATATATAATATTTAAGTCCTAAGTCCTAAACTAAAAAATAATTGCCGGGGACCATAATACACCTGCGAATCCCTCACGATCTGCGCCGTACGCTCGTCCTGTTTGAAGATCTAGCTCGTAACGGGGCATAATTTGTCCAGATATGATGTCCAACAATGATCGAATATGGTGTTTTCCTACAAATCCATATTACACTCGACAAGGACCAAATTTTCAACTTCCGGGGCTGTAGCTGCTACCGACACCATAAAACTTCCCACCACCGTGCTTTTCCATAGGAATAACATAGGAATAAGATGCTTGGTGGGGGTTTCATGGTGTGGGGCGTAGTTAACGCCTCGGGAATAGGAATTTTGGCCTTTATCGAGTGTAATATGGATCGTTTGTAGGAAAACACCATATTCGATCATTGTTGGACATCATATCTGGACAAATTATGCCCCGTTACGAGCTAGATCTTCAAACAGGACAAGCGTACGGCGCAGAGGGATTCGCAGGTGTATTATGGTCCCCGGCAATTATTTTTTAGTTTAGGACTTAGGACTTAAATATTATATATTATATTGGAAAAAATTTTGAGCAGAAAGGTCGAAAAACACGCAATAAGTAGTGCTCCTATCCTTAAATAGAGGCTACAAGAGGAGTGGACTAAAATAAGGAAGAGGAAGCTGGATAATTGGGTGGCTTTGATGCCCAGACATTTACAAGCAGTTATTGATGTCCATGGTAACCCAAAACTATATTATTTTTTGTTCCTTATATCATTATTATATCATAAAAGTGCATAGTAAGCAATCGTACGTACACTTTTGTCACTGTCGTTTTTCCGTTTTTTGTTTATAACTTTAGAAGTTAATGTTGAATTCAAATGAAATTTTAGTTTTTGTATAGTAATAACATTTAAAACAAGACTGCATCATTACTTTTCTTGTCAAATCTATAGGAGTGGCTAAAACCCAAAAAAAGGGGTCGTACGTAGACTTTTGTCCGTGACTGTAGTTGTCCGATTTTCATAAAATTTATACCAAAATTCTATAATAATAAGTACAGCTCATGTCTCAGAGTAGATGAAAATACGTTGAAAAACAACGAAGTTATAATTTTTTTCGATTAATTTCCCGATCGTTCCTATGGCAGCTATAAGATATAGTGGTCCGATTTTCATAAAATTTTTAACACACAGGCCTGCTCCGGTAATCGTAAAATTTTTTCGATTTCGTTTTGGGCGAAAACGAACCGTTTTCGTTTTTAGCTGCTCCGGTTTTCGGCAAAGTTCTGCTATCGGAATGTTTCGTTTTCTCATCGTTTCTCACTGCTCAAGCAGCTAACTTGTGTTTTTGGTAATAAGCAAACAACGTAAAGTACTGCCTATTATATTTACAATTGCCCTTTTTATAAGCCAGAAAAAGGCAAAAAATGGTAGAGTTAAGCGAATCTAGGCACCTAAGATGCTGCCACACTTTTCACAGTTTTAATTCCGGTGGTCTCAAATAATTATTTGGTTAATTTTGACCATTTAAGGGGGGGGACATCTGAGTAACTTTTTTTAAAAATCGAAAAATTTTTTTTTTGCTTAAAAAATATTTTAGGGTCTTAAAAATAACATATCAAAAGATAGAGTCCGGCAAAAGTTTCTAAGTGTCGAAATTTTTCATTCTGCGGCGATGCCTCACATGTAATCATATACGATTTTAAAACTTTAAACGCGTTTTTCTCAAAACCACTTTTTTTGAGTTGGCCGAAAACATAACTCGAACAAATCTTAACCGATCGATCTGAAATTTTGACAGTATATCCAAAATACCTATGGCTATCGACGTACGTAGGATTATTTTTTTTTTTTTGCTTACTTTTTTTTTATCAACAATTTTGTGACGTTTTTTTTTCATGAAAATTGAACATTTTATTTAATCACTCACCATTTTGCAAAAAATCAAAATATCAAAAAAATCCTACGTACGTCGATAGCGGTTGAGATATAGAAACTAACAAAATTTGATTTTTTGTTCTAGATCAAAAACTAAGGACGTTAGGTTTTCGGCCATGGAGCCCTTTCAAAAAAATAGGGCCTACGAAGACATGCTGCACAGCCGCCATTTTGTTTTCGATTTATTAAAAAAAAAAATTTATTTTGTAGTTCACATCTAACATTATCAAACCTACTTTAAAATTTTTCGATTGGCTTTTTCATTTGGCCAAAAAAAATTCTAGAAAATGGGTTTTTTTTTTGCCAGTTACTCAGATGTCCCCCCTTAAGTAATAAAATTATATAGCATTTTGGCGGTCCTTTAAAATTAATAATGTATTCATTTATATTTTATAAGTATTTTTAACTGGCTGTTTCGTTCCACCAACAATATGGCAACATTGGCGATAAATTTTTGCGGTGAACATATCGTCCTATCGCTAAAGCGAGAAAACTTGTAAAACACGTCAAAAATTTTGTTGTCAAATCTGAGGTGGGGTAGGAAATAAATTTTTTATAAAATAACTACCTGCCAGAATGATCTTATGGTGGTGTGGAATAAACATCAATAGACCACTGAGTAAACTATTTTTTTCCTTTTGTAAATAAGATCTGATTTCATATAAAAACAAGAAAGGAAGCTAACTTCGGCACGCCGAAGTTTGTATACCCTTGCAGATTGGTTTTCATATTTATATTATAAATTATAATGCCAAAAACAGACACTAAACAGAGTTTCATAACATTTTACCTATACTTATTATGTTTACAGTTTGACAGTTACAGTTATACATTCCCAGCTTTACATTTTCTCTACATCTACGGATCGCTTCTATGGCAGCTATATGATATAGTTTTCCGATTTTTATAAAATTTACACAAAAATTCTATAATAATAAGTAAAGCTTATATCTCAGAGTAGATGAAAATAAGTTGAAAAACAACGAAGTTATAATTTTTTCTATAACTTTCCCTATCGTTCCTATGGCAGCTATAAGATATAGTCGTCCGATTTTCATGAAATTTATACCAAAATAATACCAGAAGCTTATTTACCAAAGTAGATTAAAATACGTTGAAAAACAACGAAGTTATAATTTTTTTCGATTAATTTCCCGATCGTTCCTATGGCAGCTATAAGATATAGTGGTCCGATTTTCATAAAGTTTTTATC